AGTCGTAAACTTGGCTTTGGATCGTTCAGCAGAAATACAGGTAAGAAAACAAGAAAGCAGAGAGTTTTGCCTTTTGTTTCTGTGGACGATTAACTGTATTTGTAAAAATATTTTAATGTATGACGTATCATGTCAAGCCCCATGTAATGTTAATTGTTTGATGTTTCATGGCCACATTGATATTATTACCATTGTTACTATTAGTAGTAGTATTACTAATGTTACGAAATTATTGTTGTTGTTGTTGTTGTCATTATCATCATCATCATCATCACCAACACTACTACAAATACCATCATCATCGTCATTATCATCATCATTTAATTACATGCTATAACACATGTATCGGTGGCTTTCTGATTTATTTTGAAATTATATTGTAGAACGCACAAACTTACATTGGTGGGCACTTATGTTGTTCCTTATGCCTCTTGTGATAAGGAATACTTTTACGTGAAGCCAATCTCACTTAGCGTCCGTCTCAACATAGATGTATACAAGCGACACAGCAACAACGTCCTCTTTTGCCATCAGTGTGACACAGTCTTTTCATTAGACTGGTCAGCTGCGCGCATTGTCTTCCCTTCCGCTGATGTCCATGGTCGCAGACTGGTGGAATCTTCCTGAATCAAGCAGCTGTTGTCTATTTTCAACTTGAACTGTGGATTTTCTCCTGCTGACTGTCTCCTCGCTTCTCACATCCTCCGCCTTCTCCCTAATGTCGGTCACCTTCGCACAGACCGCTTGATCTTTTGACCTGCCCTGACCTCCCTTCGCTTCCGTTCACATGTCCTCACCTATCCCGTGTTCGTTGCCTCTCCTTTCTCTCATCTATACTCACCACGTTGCTTCACACACACATACAAACACACACATATGCATATATACATATACATATGTTATATATACATATATATACATATATATACATATATACATATATATACATACATACATACATATATATATATATATATATATATATATATATATATATATATATATATATATATGCATGTATGTATGCATATATATGTATATATATACATATATATTTTCATACCAATATACACATATACATGTGAGGAATTCATGTCGAACAAATTGCAACAAGAACAACGAAGGGAAGAACAAGAAAACACACGAAGGCTTTTTCGCTATTGCTTCGTCAGGGCTTACATGACCAGATCAGTTCAGTTCAATTAGATTTTCGAAGACTAGCTTTTTTCTCTAGGGTGGCCCGGCCTGTGTCAGCTATTTCTAGTTGACACGTGATTATCGACGGGACCTGACCACCTAACATTAGTATATAAAATGTACCTCTTGTCATGTGTCACATAAGTTGAGTAATGTGACACATGATAAGAAGTATATAGAGGAATATATATACTAATGTTAGGTGGTCAGGTCCCGTCGGCAATCAGGTGAGCGACCTTGGATAGTTCGTGGCTCCCCGTTGCGGCGTTGAAGTTGTTCGTGAATAATGGAGGCGCTCCTCGTGTCGTGACGTCAGAGAGCGCTGCGATGTTGGCTGATTTGTGATGTCTCACCTATGTAGACTTTATCACAAGGGCCACAGGGTGTGCTGTACACGTGGGTGAAGAGTCTGTTGTGGTTTGACCTCCTTTCTTCTACGATATCTCCGATCTTCTTACCTGAAGACGTAGTTATCTTTATAGAGTGGCCTACTAGAGCCTCCAGGTGTTCAGTCAATTCCGAGTGAGGGATAACTATTCTCTGAGTCTTGTTCTGTCTTCATCTCTCGGTCTGCCCATGATCTTTTCGGCCTTGCGTTGGAGGTGGGGGAGCATGGAGCGACGATAATGGAGGTGTTGGAGGGTGTTGCAGACGTGTTGCATTTCCTCCTCCAAGAACTCAGGGCTGCATATTCTGAGAGCTCGGAGGAAGAAACCAATGACCACGCCTTCTTTAGTCCTCTTGCTATGGGCAGAGGAATAATGAATGAAATCATCTTTATTGGTGGATTTTCTGCACACGGAAAATATCGGACCATCTGGCCTTATGTGAATCAAGATGTCTAGGAAAGGGAGCTGTTCATTTTTTTTCTTCCTCTGTGGTGAACTGTATAGAGGTATGTATTGCATTAAGTCTGTTGAGGAGATCGGGCAGGTTCGTCCTGGTCGGAACTGCAGCGAGGATATCGTCCACGTAGCGGAGCCAGACCACGTTTCTTCCCACGATGCTTCGGTAGTAGTCAGCCTCCAGGGTTTCCATGAACAGCTGGGCAAGGACTGCTGAGAGCGGTGAGCCCATCGCACGTCCCTGGATCTGGTCATATTCTCGTCCTCGGAATTCAAACGAGCCGAACACCACGCGGAGACGAATGAGTTTGATGTAATCGTCTATCGGTAGTGGTAGTTCCCCCTCGGCCATTTTTATCAACGCTCGTTTTGAAGCTTCGATGGCCCCGTCAAGTTCGTAAAGAGCGACTTGACATCGAAGCTGACAATTATATATAATATATATATATATATATATA